TCAGGATGCCCCTCTTGCAGAGATAGATAGATAGATAGATAGATAGATAGATAGATAGATAGATAGATAGATAGATAGGAAAAGACAAGACTGAAACAGATAGATAGATAGATAGATAGATAGATAGATAGATAGATACGAAAGACAAAACTGAGATAGATAGATAGATAGATAGATAGATAGATAGATAGATAGATACGAAAAGACAAGACTGAAACAGATAGATAGATAGATAGATAGATAGATAGATAGATAGATAGATAGATAGATAGATAGATACGAAAGACAAAACTGAGATAGATAGATAGATAGATAGATAGATAGATACGAAAAGACAAGACTGAAACAGATAGATAGATAGATAGATAGATAGATAGATAGATAGATAGATAGATAGATACGAAAGACAAGACTGAGATAGATAGATAGATAGATAGATAGATAGATAGATAGATAGATAGATAGATAGATAGATACGAAAGACAAGACTGAAACAGATAGATAGATAGATAGATAGATACGAAAAGACAAGACTGAAACAGATAGATATATAGATAGATAGATAGATAGATAGATACGAAAAGACAAGACTGAAACAGATAGATAGATAGATAGATAGATAGATAGATAGATAGATAGATAGATACGAAAGACAAAACTGAGATAGATAGATAGATAGATAGATAGATAGATAGATAGATAGAAACGAAAGACAAACTGAGATAGATAGATAGATAGATAGATAGATAGATAGATAGATAGATAGATATAACAGAAAGACAAGACTGAGAAAGACAAGATAGATAGATAGATAGATAGATAGATAGATAGATAGATAGATAGATAGAAAGACAAGACTGAAACAGATAGATAGATAGATAGATAGATAGATAGATAGATAGATAGATAGATAGATACGAAAGACAAGACTGAGATAGATAGATAGATAGATAGATAGATAGATAGATACGAAAGACAAGACTGAAACAGATAGATAGATAGATAGATAGATAGATAGATATTTTATTTCAAGTGTGCTGCTTATTTTTTATAATAATAGTTTCTTCTGTCACTTGTCAAAACTCAGTGCAATCCATGTACACATCGAACATCACATCATGAATGACCAAAATGTAAATATCAACATCAGACAAATATTAGCAGCTAACACCAAAATACTCTACAGCCCCCAATGCAAGACAAGACTCAAAATTCTATATAACATATCTGTATGTATTAAATGTATCGGTCCCAAAATATCCTTTAAAACATTCAGCACTTATTGTTTAAAGTTAGCAATATATATATATATATATATATATATATATATATATATATATATATATATATGGGGGTCTAAAGATAGAGAAATGTTCACTGTAAGAGATCGAACTTTTGAAGATATAAACAGTGTGGACACACAAACCAACACATGACGATTGTCAGTTTCAGAGGTTGGTATGCTAACATCTGTTCGTATCTTCAATCTATTATGCATATATTCATATTCATATCAATCAGCCTGTTTGCTCATATCTGTCTGTATGACTATTTATCTATCTCTCCCTCTCCCTCTCCCTCTCCCTCTCTCTCTCCCCCTCTCTCTCTCTCTCTCTCTCTCTATATATATATATATATATATATATATATATATATATATATATATATGCGCACGAAAGATAGGAACGACGACAATTTTTAAATTTAAATTTTTAATTTTCCTTATATATATATATATATATATATATATATATATATATATATATATATATATATATATATATATATATATATCAGGCCATCCCATAAGTTCTGTCCATAAGTTCTGTTCGAATTTTGAATAAAGAAAACAAGTGCGCAAATGTTACATTTAATTACAGATTCAATCAACAATGTATTTTCCCTGATTATCTATGACTTTCTTCCATCTATTAACAAGATTACTAATTCCATTACTGTAAAATTCTTTTGGCTTTGATTCGAAGAACTCACAAATGTCAGTTTTTACGTCTTCCTGTGTTACAAAAGCTGTTTCTTCCAAATTATTCTGTAAGCTATGAAACAAATGGTAGTCTGAAGGAGCAAGATCGGGAGAATAAGTTGGATGAGGATTTTCTCCCAACCAAGTTCTTTGATTTTTTGTGATGTGATTCTTTCTGTGTGGGGTCGTCTTTTCGATTCACTAGAGCAGGTCTTTTTTCCCTCAAAGCTTGGTTCAAACGCTGTAATTGCTGACAGTATATTTGAGCATTAATTATTGCATTAGATGGTAAGAATTCAAAGTGGATTATTCTTTGGCGATCCCACCAGATTGAAAGAAGAACTTTTTGCCCATGAAGTTCCCTTCTCGGCTGTGGCTGGGGTCCTTCCCCTTTACCAAGCCACTGTCTACGACGCTTAACATGTCGATAAAAGTTCCATTTTTCGTCGCCAGTCACAAGTCTATCCAAAAAAGGTGAAACAAGTTGGCGAGAATGGAGAGACGAGCAGATGTCAACTCGGAATTTGAGGTTTTTTTCCAGACAATTCATGAGGCACCCATTTTCCAAGTTTAGGAACTTTTCCAAGTTGTTGAAGATGATGAACAGTTGTATGGTTTGAACTTGCCAATTCTTCAACTGATAAAGCAGGATTTTCTTCAAGGGCTGCTTCAAGAAGCTTTTCAGCAAACTCAAATGGACGTTCGGTTCGATGTTTATCTTCAAGGGTGAATTCTCTACCTCTGAAATTTGACATAAAAACTAATACACTTGTAAAATAGAATATGTGGATTTAACACATCACAAGAAATATTTAAATAAAATTCTCACTTAAAAAAATTTTGAAATTTAGCGTTGCGTCTTTGCGCGTTCCACGATCTTACACACCCGTCAACTATAGCAGATATTCAAAAAACATCTTTCGGTCGACATACAGATATATCGTCTCAAGTTTTTGATTTTATAAGATAAACAACACATGCCTGATGATGGATGGAAGGCCGTTCGTAAGTACTAGCATTTTAACATCAAATAAACTGAAAAACTACAGACAACAAGTTTTTCTTCAAGGATCAAAACTCGCACTTTGGATGAACAGGATTTTAATGCATATATTATGTTTTCTAGCGATGGATGTCGCCAATAATCGCATTAATACTTCTGATTAATTCTATGTGTGATTATTCTTTGTATGTAAATCATATGCTGCCTAATGTTTTATGTTTATATATATATATATATATATATATATATATATATATATATATATATATATATATATGATGAGAGGAAAGAGAGAGAGAAAAGTCAGATGCAAGAAACCAAAGACAACAGATATGGTCAGAAAAAGTATCTGAAGTACATAGTTACATAGATATGAAAAAAGACACACATGTTCAATATATATATATATATATATATATTGAACAATAAAAAAATATTAAAAATTAAAATCTTCAGACACACTGGGTTTGTAGATTAATATTCTTTCGTTTTTTTATTATTATTTCATTTAGATTCATATATATATATATATATATATATATATATATATATATATATATATATATTATGAAACATTTCTCAGAGTTAACCTATAGAAAAAGACAATATGTATAAAGGAAAAAGACAACTATTCCAATATTATTATTATTATTATTATTATTGTTGTTGTTGTTCATAGTTACTTTGTTTTCAGTAAACTAATTTCGTTTTTCACCTTGAAAATGCCCACATTGGACGAAACGTGTCGGCTAATAATAGGTTTTCCTATTGTTTTTACCTTTTATATATACATATATATATATATATATATATATATATATATATATATATATATATATATATATATATAATAATAATAATAATAATACTAATAATCTTATAAATCCAGGTAACGTATATCTCACTCACTCTCATATATATATATATATATATATATATATATATATATATATATATATATATGTGTGTGTGTGTGTGTGTGTGTGTATAGTAATATTTTTTTGTTTAAAATATTCCTTCGCTACATAAGAGTTCTCATGTTTCAAAAACGAGAGCCGAACCGTTTTAGTTTCCTAAAATTTCGCTTGAAGATGAAACGGGACTAAACACCACAATTCAACTTAATTTTAATAATAATTTGGATGGTTTCGGCTCTCGTTTTTGAAACATGAGAACTCTTATGTAGCGAAGGAATCATATTTTTAAACAAAAAAAAATATTACAATATAAGCTCTACTTCTGTTTTCTTAAAAATAAAAACAAAAATACTAAGGAACTCAGGATTATGCACCCAACGTGTTCTTTTCTATTTTCTGCATACCTGCATATATATATATATATATATATATATATATAGAGAGAGAGAGAGAGAGAGAGAAAGAAAGAGAGAGAGAGACTGACTGAAACTATTTATCTATTGATATCTCTAATATATATATATATATATTTATATATATGTGTGTGTGTGTGTATATTGAGAGAGAGAGAGAGAGAGAGACGCAGAGAGAGAGAAAGAGATAAGTGGATAGATATATATGTCTTTATACCCTC